GGTTTCCAACCAAAAGCTTCTTTTAAATAATGCCTTTTTATTATTATTATTATTATTTTTATTATAATTTCTCCTTAGAGACCATCTCAATTCAGAAAAAAAAAAATAATAAATTAAAAAAAAGTTTCTCTAAAAAATTGCAATCTCCTATTTCTCTGTTTAGACTTGCATGCAGCTGTCAAATACATAGGCAAAATCAAATGTACTTAAACAATTTTCTGTGATTTGATAATGTGGCCTTTCTACTGATGGGAAATATTTTCTGAAATACAGAATATTTAAAAAAAAAATGCACTTTATCATCTCCTGCATGAGATGTCCCATGTGTCCCAGGAAAGTATGGTAAATTTCAGAGAGATGTTGTACTTAGGCCATGAACATATTAATGGAAAGCATGAGGGAAGAAACAGAAAATTTCATGGTTAAGTTCTCCAAGAGAATGAGCATCTAATGTCTTTATCTAGCATTGGAGTGAAAAACTGGCACTGACATTAGGAAGTGGTAATTTGTAGTTTTTCTTTGTCTTTGTTCTATTATGTCCAAACAGAGTAAAGACTATGCCAATGTAACATTGACAAGCCATGCTGCTGAGGTTGTCTGTCACTAAAATTAAATTATCTTGTACAAAACATGTTTTATCTCCTTGTTGTTTTTTTTTGTTTGTATTGTTTGTTTGTTTGTTTGTTTGTTTTGCTCTATTATTATTATTATTTTACTATAAATAGTAAAATTTAACTGAAAAAAAAGTCTTAAACCTAAAATAAGAGTAAGACAAATACAGAAGCACTCAGAAAAAAAAAATAATAAAACTAACTAAGCAAAATTGAGTAAAATAGAAAGAGATGCTTTCAAAAAACCCCACTAACAAAAATACTGATAAATATTGATTAGTATAAAACAAACTAGAATATCTTTTACTATTTAATTGTATATTTATGAAAAGCATAACCTACAAAGCACATGGAATTCAACATGCGGAAACTATCTGAGATATACAAAATATACAAATATAAAATATAATACAATAAAAAAACATGCAGAAGGTATGTGAGATATATAAAATATAACCTTGAAATAAACCCCTAAAGATCTCAAAATTAGGGTTCTAGGCTGAACATAATATAAACATAAAGAAATTTTTTCTTGTCCAGTATTTTTTATATATTATATATATTTAAAAAAAAAAAAAAAAAAAAAAAAAAAAGCTTTCAGTGAAGTGTGGTTCAGTTCAGTATGCTTTTGATGTTAACTTAAGATACCAAGGTCTGACTCCTGGTTCCCTGTAATCCATTTTACTGCTTTTATCTGCCCTTTTGTCCAGCCAACAACACATCTGAGTACATATTCCCTATCAACACATGGACACATCCACAAACACAGGATGAACACAGACAGCTACAAAAGGAGATTAACACAGAGAGAATTGTGCCATTTCATAGAATTATAGAATCATTAAGATTGGAAAAGGTTTTCAAGATCATCTGGTCCAACCATCCCCCTACCATCAACATCACCAACTAAACCATGTCCCTAAGCACCATGTCCAACCTTTCCTTAAACACCCGCAGGGATGCTAACTCCATCACCTCCCTGTGCAACCCATTCCTCTTTTTCTGAGAAGAAATTTCTCATAATTTACAACCTAAACCTCCCATAGCGCAGCTTGAGGCCTTTCTCTCCAGTCCTATTGCTGGTTATCTGTGAGAAGACGCTGCTCCACACAACTTCCTCTCAGGTAATTGTAGAGAGCAAGAAGGTCTCCCCTGAGCCTTCTCTTCTCCAAACTAAACTCTAATTCCCTCAGCTTCTCTTCACAGGACTTGTGCTCCAGACCCCTCACCAGCTTTGTAGCCCTTCTCTGGAAAATGCTCCAGGGCCTCTATGTCTTTCCTGAAGCGAGGGGCAAACAATAGGGAGCAACTAAGCAATGACTTGCAAGACAAATATTTCATTTGTTAGACAGCAATAAAAAGTGAGACTAAGGACAGCTGTGTATGAAATAAACCAACCACATTTTATTTTGGTTGAGCCCATTTCTGTAGGCAAAGATCAGCAATGTTTGCACAATTATGACAATTAATTTATTGGTCAGGATAAAAAGGTTGCAGAGCTCTCCAGCACATCAATGGCAGTACACTCATCTCCATCAGGACTCAAAACATCACTTCTGAGTAACTCTGGGAATGACTTGAAAGTGTTGCATTAACAAAAATTGTGGGAATAGGCAGGAGCTGAATCAGGGATTTTGATCACAATGGAAGACATAGTTGCTTCCATTCCACCTAAGTCTTATGTCACACTTCTGAAACCTTACTTGAAGCTTGTCACAAGACTTACTGAAATGCTTGACCCTTACTATCTGGAAGTTTTCCTTTTTGATATGAACCAGTGAATTTACTGAAATATAAATTTGAGATAGGAATTTCATATATAAACTATTATAATTTTCTGCATATTTGTTTCACATTTTTGTTATTTGTGGTTATAAATATGTGAAGGAGCTACAAAGATGGTGAAGAGCCTAGAGGAGAAGACGTATGAGGCGTGACTGAGGTCACTTAGCCTGTTCAGCCTGGAGAAGAGAAGTCTGAGGGGAGACCTCATCGTGCTCTACGGCGCTCTCACAAGGGGGAGTGGAGGGGCAGATGCTGATGCACTGTGTGCCGAGGCACTTTTTAGTGACCAGCGATAGGATCCAAGGGAATGGTGTCAAACTGTGGCAGGGGATGTTCAGGCTGGATATCAGGAAGAGGTTCTTCACTAAGAGGGTTGTCACATACTGAAACAGGCTCCCCAGAGACATAATCATGGCACCAATCCTGTCGGAGTTTAAGAAGCATTTGGACTGTGCTCTTAGTCACATGGTCTGAATTTTTGGGTAGACCTGTGTAGTACCAGGAGTTGGACTTGATGATCCTTATGGGTCCCTTCCAACTCAGGATATTCTACGATTCTATGAATCTATGGCAGCAGTAATAAAAAAGTTTTAATAAATTATAAAATAAACTGTTCTCTGCCTGGAGGAATAGAGACAGCAATAAAGGGCTTGGAAGGTGAGTGACAAGTAAATTGTGGAAAATTACTTCTAAATTAAGATTTCAAATATGAAAACAAGAGCAATACATGACAATTTTCCCCTACTTTTATTTTATTTATTTATTTATTTGAGGGGTCTAGAAATAAAAAGCTCAATAATTCTGGAATTAATAAAAGTGAAAATGAAATAAAAATATGACATTAATAGTGAAACCTGTTACTTCAAAGTCATAGGAATATACATTCAGGATTATATTAAATATTCTAAAATGTATATAATTTTTTTTTCTCATTCTCCAAAGCAAAATGGAATAAAATCTCAAATATGAATACAATTATTATAAACTGACATTGAAAATAACTAATTTCAATAAATATATCCTCATCAGGTTTACAGATCATTATTCATGACTAAATTTTATTTTACTGTATTGTATTTATTTTCCCAAATAAGGGTTAGATTTTGCTCACCCAGATTTAGCTAAGAGTTATCCACTGCAGCTGCTGTTTGATACTGCAACATGTAAATATCAACTGGAAATATCAAAGCAAGTTTCCTGTCATTGTTCCCACCTTAACATTAATCAGTTTTTAACTTGATTTTAATTACCTTTAATTGATTTGTGAATTTAATAAATAAATAAATAAATAAAATTGTTCTAAATAAAACAGTTTTCCGAACCAGTTTTTAAATTTTAAAGGCAGAAAACTGAGTTGAGGGCTCATAGGGAGCTCATAGGTACCATGAGCTTGCATTGCCACCAAATAAGTGAGCTTACACTGTACATCACACTTAGACTTCCTTTATAGGGGATGGACAAAATTTAATTCAAAAGTCTGATACTAAATTTTCAGAAACTAGGACGTTTTACAGATCATCAGTATGTGCTCATATTTCAGGTATTTTAGCTGGAGCTTTAGAGCATAGGGACAGGTATTCTAGAAATACCTAACTCCTTATAAGCAGTAGAAGCTTCAGACAGAAAAGGAACATGCAGAGCTAAGAATCAAGAACTGTTCTAAAGCACAGCAATGATTTTCCTGTATACTATTTTCTTAGGAACATGTATTTTTTTTAGTCTATTTTTTTCCCCAATATCAGCAGGACAACATTGTAGTTTAGTCTTTAAAAGACTGAGGAATATCAATGTTTTGAAGTTTGCCCATTAAATAATAATAATAATAAAAAAAAAAAAGTGTAAAGAATCGTCCTTTTTTTTATTACTATTATTACAATAATATGAATCATGCAGTAGGATATATTAATGTAATTTAGAACACTCTAATTATAGTATCTAAAGCATTTGACCTACAATGGCAAAACTCATTCTCTTAATTATGCAAGGATAACACAAGACATCTTGATTTTCAAATTTTTCTTGTTTTGTAAAATTGAGTTTATCTTCACTTTAATATTTAGAACACTTTCTACTGCATGGCATTTTACTAATATGATGATATAATAAAGCTGTTCATGAATTTCAGATAAGACATTTTTACACTTAAGCCAATCCATGAGAAAGCCACCTGAATGATTCAGGGCTGGAGCAGCTGCATTTTGAGGCAGGACTGAACCACAAGAGTTTGTTCAGCCTGTGAAAGACATGTCTGTCGAAGGTATAGGGAGCAGCTCCAGTAGCTACTCTTTACAGTAATGAGTGACAGGAGGACAGGAGGACAGAGGTATGAATTAAGCAAGAGAAGTTTCCCTGGTGTGGACAGCCAAACAATGGGACATATTGTGCAGAAAAGGTCCTACTCAATTATATTATGCTATGGCTCTATGTTATTTGAATTGTATGGTTAACAATTCAATCAATGTGAAAAAAAAAAAAATGTACTTTTACTGTTTCTTCCAACTTGTGCATGGGACAACTTGAAAATATCGTGGACATTTCCAGTTAGTGTCCTGGTTTCTGCCGGGATAGAATTAATTTTCTATTTCCATTTTCCAATGTATCAGTATGAAGATAATTAACGCCATCTCAGCCAAAACCAGGAGAAGCAGGTAAATTGTCCTTTATAGGTAAAGCATGTGTTTCTTTTGCCTTGTTATTCATTTTTCTTGATTTAAATATGGTATTTTGTTATTCAAAGTGATAATTGGTGTTTATAATAATAAACACCTAGTTTATATTTGTATGTATATTTATAAATATAAATATAAATATGTCCACTCAGATTTTAAGTATCTCCAGGGATGGAGACTCTACAACCTACCTGAATAACCCATTTTAGTGTTTGACCACCCCCATAGTAAAACAAAGGAAACAAACAATTGACAAACTATTCTGTTAAGATTTCAAATTTTGCCCTTTGCTTCTTGTCTTGTCATTGGATACCTCTGAGAATAGTCTGTCTCTGTCTTCTTTGCCTTCACTTGTCATGTAGTTATAAATACTGATCAGGTCTCCCTGAACCTTCTTTTCTCCATGCTGACCAGATCCCCACAGTGGGATCATATGCTAAACAGTTTGGACAGTCTCGTGAATGACGTCTTATAGATTATGTTTAAGTGGCAGTTCACAGCTTGACACAAATATGTGACATGTACAAGACATGGACATGACATAAGAAATCTTTAGCAATTTCTGTGAAACTATAAAGCTTCTAAGCAGCACTTAGTGAGGTTATCACTTGTGTTGTATGCAGAATACTGTTCATGAATTTATCAAGGGTGAAAACTATTTCAAACCTACTACGATTTTAACTTACAAAAAAGGGTGAGATTTGACTTTGGACAGACATGTAATTACATAAAAATATATGCAATTCTGAGTGAATAATTAAGATTTCTCTATTAAGCTGAAGGAGAAGAAAAGAAGAGCAATATAGAAAGAATCCTGATAAACACCAGCACAAAACTGAAAGTGACCACTTCTCTCTAAAGAAAAGGAAAAACTTGATGTGGTTGATACTCAGAGTGACTTTTATCTTTAAAAGTAATTAATCCAAATAAAGCAAATGTAGCCAAAATTAATTTTAGAAGCTAATAGTATCAAGGCCCAGGATGAATGAGAAAAATTCCCCACCAGATTTTACTTGGCCTTTATAGGGAAGTAGAGATAAATGCTATGATTATGAAAACAAAAAGTTGCTAAAGTTCTTCAGTTCTTCATAGGAAGCAATGTTTTCAATTGAAAACAACGACAACAACAACAACAACAACCAAACAAACTAAAAGCTAATTGAAGTCATGCTCCAAAACTGAACTAAACATTATATTTAAAAAAATCTCTTTGACTTCCTTCAAAAGGAAGAGAACTAGAAATTCCGCATATATATATATTTAATCTACCTAAAATATTGAGATTTTAGAAGTTCATGTTTTGTCTGACAATTCCAAGACACAGCTTTGTACATGAACAATTACGATATGATTTTTTGTTACTCTAAAAATAAAAATAGTTATTTTACAGTTCCCTACATTGACATTTCAGATTTATATAGGCAATATAAATCACAGAATCACAGAATCACAGAATTTCTAGGTTGGAAGAGACCTCAAGATCATCGAGTCCAACCTCTGACCTAATGCTAACAGTCCCCACTAAACCATTAAACTGGGGCCGGCGGGGGGCCAGGCCGGGGGCCCAGAGCACAGCGGGGGGCAGCGGGGCCATGTCGGTGGTGGTGGCAGTGGTGGCGGTGGGGCCCTCGCTGCCATCTCCTCCACCTCCTGCCGCTGCTCCTGCTCCTGCTGCCCACCAGCGACGCCGGGCAGCTTGGCCCCAGCTTGGGCTCTGGGCCCCCGGCCTGGCCCCCCGCCGTCCCCGGGCCCAGCCTGAGCCTGTACCTGAGCGAGGAGGAGGTGCAGTCTCGATGCAGAGTTATCTTATGTGAGGAATGATGTTGTTAATCATTACGCATTGTCCTTCAATCTCTTAATAGCCAGCGAGACCCACAATCTTCACTTCAGTTGGCATGCTAAATCCAAGGTTGAGTATAAACTGGGATTTCAGGTAGATAATCCCATGGCTATGGCTATGCCCCAGGCCAACATTTCTTTACAAGGAGAAGTTCCTCGCACCCTCTCAGTGTTTCGTGTCGAACTCTCCTACACTGGCAGACTTGACTCTGAGGTCACAATACTGATGCAGCTCAACTTGACAATAAATTCATCCAAAAACATCACAGTTTTAAATTTCAAATGGAGGAAAATGTGCTACAAAAAGCTTGAACCAGAAGTAAAATCTCCAACATGTGACAAAAGTAGCAGCAAGGCTATCTTTGATCCTGTAAATGCAGCTCCTACCACTTCTACCCACGTGTTCTACATCAGTGTAGGCGAGTGCTGTGCCGTTATATTCCTGGTGGCAATAATACTAGCTGTCCTGCATCTCCACAGTATGAAGAGGATAGAGTTGGATAACAGCATTAGTGACAGCAGTAGCTCCCAAGGTTTATCCCAACCTTCCACGCAGACAACTCAGTACTTGAGAGCCAATACACCAAACAATGCAACACCAGTAACCAGCTCCTCAGGTTATCCTACATTATGGATAGATAAGAATGATCTTAAAAGTGTCACTCTAATGGAAGCAAAAGCTAAAGTGAAGGACATAGCCATCTCCAGGGAGAGGATAACTCTAAAGGATGTGCTCCAAGAAGGCACATTTGGGTGCATTTTCCATGGAATTCTAATAGAGGAGAAGGATCCTAGTAAAGAGAAACAAGTTTTTGTCAAAATTGTTAAAGATCAAGCTTCAGAGGTGCAGGTGACAATGATGCTGACTGAAAGCTGTAATCTCAGAGGACTTCATCACAGGAATCTGCTACCTATCACTCATGTCTGTAAATAATATAAATAAGACAATATCTCCTTATTTAAATTCTTGACATTGTGTGTCTTCTAAAGTGCTTGCAAAGTTAAATAAAATAGAGAAAATAGAGAATAAGTAGAGAGAAATTTTTAAAAACATTTGGTTTAAGTTTATCTTTCTTCACCTGTCATGAATATTTGTTACTTTGTTTAGACGAATCATAAAATCAGTAAGGTTTGAAAACACCTTCAAGATCATCTGGTCCAATCATGCACCTACCACCAATATCACCGTGTCTATAAGCAACACATCCAGACTTTCCTTAAATACTCCCAGAGATGGTGAATATGAGTATCTGTATCATATGTAACACCACTGGACTTGAAATAATACTTACAGCTTAAACTTATAAACTAGATATTAGTATACTCTTTGGTTATTTTTCTTACATATGTTCTGTAGACTGATCCTTTGTTTCTATGTCTTAATTTGGTGCTATAGAATCCTAGAATCATAGAAACATAAGGTTGGAAAGGACCTACAAGATCATCTAGTCCAAACATCCTCCTATCACCAATACTCCCCACTAAGCTACTAAATCATACTCGTAGCACCTCATCCAGACGTTCTTGAACACCACGAGGGACGGTTACCCCACCACCTTGCTTGGCAGGCCTTTCCAGTGCCTGACCATTCTTTGAGAGAAAAAGTTTTTCCTGATATCTAGTCTAAATCTCCCCAGGCACAAGTTGTGTCCCTTCTAGTAAGACTTGTGCTCCAGACCCTTCACCAGTTTTGTTGCCTTTCTCTGGACATGCTCCAGGGCCTCAATGTTTTTCTTGTAGTGAGGGGCCCAAAACTGAACACTGTACTCGAGGAGCAGCCTCACCAAAGCTGAGTACAGGGGGATGATCATCTCCCTGGCCCCACTGGTTAACTTATTTCTAATATAGGCCAGGATGCCACTGGCCTTCTTCGCCACCTGGGCACACTGTTGGCTCATATTCAGATGAGCATCAATCAACATTCCCAGGTCCTTTTCCTCTTTACAGTCTTCTTGCCACTCTGCCCCAAGCCTATAGTTCTGAATGTGGTTATTATGGCCAAAGAGCAGGACCCAGCACTTGGTCTTGTTGAGCGTTATCCCTTTCACCTCAGCCCAGCAGTCCAGCCTATCTAGATCCCTCTGAAGGGCCACCCTACCCTCAGGCAAGTTGACACTACCTCCCAGCTTGGTGTCATTTGCAGACTTACTGAGGGTACACTCAATCCCCTCATCTATGTCATCAATAAATATATTAAACAAGACAGGCCCCAGTACCAGCCCCTGGGGGACACTACTTGTTATGGGACACCCAATGGACTTAACTCCATTAAACACTACCCACTGGGCATGGCCCTCCAGCCTGTTCTTTACCGTATACCTGTCATGGGCAGCCAGTTTCCCAGGAGAATACTGTGGGAGACCATGTCAAAGGCTTTGCTGAAGCAACAGCCTTTTCCTCATGTACCAATTTGGTCACATGGTCATAGGAGATGAGGTTGGACAAGCACAACCTGCCTTTTGTGAACCTGTTCTTGCTGGGCCTGATCCCCTGGATGCTACACACACATGCCATGTGATCTCACCCAAGATGATTTGCTTCATAGTTTTCCCCGGAACTGAGGTCAGGCCGACAGGCCTGCAATTTCTGCAATATGGCCCTTATTGTAGATGGGAGTCACATCAGCAAGACTCCAGTCCTCTGGGACCTTTCAAGAGAACCAGGAATAATAGAATCATAGGTCAGCTTCGTTCAAGATGAATGGAAAATAATAGTTTGATTATAAAATATGTTGTGCATGTGATATAATCAAAGTTTCCATAAGGGCAGGAAAAAATAGAAAGACCATTTTTTTCCAGAAGTCTATGTTTAACAGTAGAAACAAAACATTCACTGACTCCTTTTTATTTGAAAGTGAAGACTCATCTCTGTTATTATCTTGCCAGTCTATGTATCCTTAGAAGAAATAGCAAAAGCACTGATGGGACATCTGTGGACATCAAATTAGAGAGGGAAGCTATATGGTGAAGATGTTGTCAAACACAAGCATGCAAGGAATAAATAAATACTTAACGAGCCAAATCTGACATCTCCAATGACATTGGAGATGTCAGATTTGGCTCTCTTTCTTTCTTTCTTTCTTTATCTCTCTCTGCTCTCTCTTTCTTGATCCTGTGTCTTCACAGAATTCCATGGGATAAGGTTCATACATGAGAAAAAATTATAACAGGTAATTCCAATTGCCTGAATGAAATATGTTTGTGAGATAGTTTACTAAACAAAATAGTTAAAAATAGTTAGAACCTTGCATCATACATCTCTACAGAACCTGAAAAATAAGTGTTAATATGTAGGGACATACTTAATGCTATTACCTTAATGGTGAAGATTTTGACTTGTATTGCAACAGATCTGAATATATGATGAGAAAGCTGTTTTATCATCAGACATTTCTGCATTAAACTTCCTTTCTTTATTCTGTCTTCTTGACTGTTTGGAGAATTGTTCAAAATGGCAATGATTCTAAAGCAGAGTCAGTAAAAAAAATAATGATACTGTGTTCTGATATTTATGATAATATTATATTGTACCTGTATTTCATTTCCCCCTGTACTTGGGGGGGGGGGGGGGGGGGGCGGGGGAGGGAGGGGAATGGGGAGGTCCTGGACCATGTCCAGAGCATGTCCAGAGAAGACAACAAAGTTGGTAAGGGGTCTGGAGAACAAGTCTTATGAGGACTGGCTGAGGGAACTGGGGTTATTTAGCCTGGAGAAGAAGAGGCTCAGGGGTGACCTTATTGCTCTCTATGGGTACCTTAAAAGAGGCTGTAGTGAGGTGAGGATTAGTCTATTCTCCCATGTGCCTGGTGATAGGACAAGGGGAAATAGGCTAAAAGTTGTGCCAGGGGAGATTTAGGTTGGATATTAGGAAAAACTTATTTACTGAAAAGGTTGTTAGGCATTGAATGGGCTGATCAGGGAAGTGGTGTAGTCACCATCCCTGGAGGTCTTTGAAAGATATTTAGATGTAGAGCTTAGTGATATGGATTAGTGGAGGACTTGTTAGTGTTAGGTCGGAGGTTGGACTCAGTGATCTTGGAGGTGTCTTCCAACCTAGATGATTCTTTATTCTGAAAGAACAGAGGACGGTGTGTATCATGTGACCCATTGACAAAATTTACTTTTTAAAGTGTAATTTTAAGTCAGTGACTGTGGTCTTATATATTTACATATGTGTATATATTTATGTAAATTGTTTAACCAATGTTATTGAGTCTTCATGTCTCTGAACCACTCAAGTCTTTTACAGGAACAATTTCTTTCCATGTGTTTGTACATGGCTGAACTCACAGATGACATTCAGTAATTACAATGAGCTGTCAGGCACTGTTTAGACAGGAAAGATATGAATGATTTTCCTGGTTTACATCTTTTCACTGCAAGCTGTTGGTGAGGAAAAAAACATGACTGCTTACTTGGCTTTTAAATAGGCTTGCTATAGGGCACTCTGAGAAACATCTCAAGGCTCCTTACTATTGTAGGCAAAATTTGGTTTTGCAGTGACAGCAAAATGAATTTTTGAGAAAGTGTGGTTTATTATAATTTTAGATAGCTGATGATAGCAAGAAGAGATTTATCAACGTCTAAAGCTTTTTTAAAGTAGGTCATGAATGAGGAGTCTGAAAATGTTAACAGAGTTTTCAGGACGTGAAAGTGAAACCGGTGAGATGGTAACAATTAGCATGACTTTGATGAACCTATTGTTGATGGCAGAAACCTCTCTCACTCCTCTTCTTTAGCCTTCACTTCTGTCGCATTAAGGGGTGTAGCCAATTAACCATTATGGGCCCTGTTGGATTCAGGTTTCTGAACTATCACAATCACAGATTCACCAATAACACATTAACCCTTAGGGGTCCGGTCAGATTCACCAATAATGCATTAACCATTAGGGGTCTGGCTGGATTCAGAGCACTAACTACCACGGTCACAGATTCACCAATAACATATAACCACTCTTACTCTAGTTGCGTTTAATGAGAACTATCACAACTAGGAACAATGCAATCAAGTGCAATTTTCTTTGGATTGCTGGTGATAGTTACTGTCTGCAAAAGCAAGCTAGCATGCATGAAATAAACAGATGACACAGGCGCACAGCCTGGAAATTAACGTGTTAAAAGGCACAAAGACTCTATAGAGATTTCTAAGTTTCTGCAGAGACACACAGTATAAGCAAGTGTTCAAATCTCACCCAAACACGTCCCAATGGGGGGGGATGGGTAAGGGGCTGGAAGAGAAGCTCAGCCTGTCGACTGATCCTGGGAGTCAAGAGGTCCTCAGGATGGTGTATTCCCTTGGGATGGTATCTCCTCTGACAGCGGAATCTTCCCTAACAATGGTATCTTCCCCGACATCCCCTCTCTCTTATAAAGAATAAATTCTTTACTGTGAGATAGGTGAGGCACTGGAACAAGTTGCCCAGAGAAGTTGCGGATTCCCCATCCCTGGATTGTTCAAGGTCAGGTTGGATGGGGCTTTAAGCAACTTGATGTAGCGGGAGGTGTCCCCTGCCCATGACAGGGGTGGTGGAGCTGGATCTTTCAGGTCCCTTCCAACCCAAACCATTCTATGATTCAGTGACTCTAGAAGACCTGGTGTCATTTTCCAAATAATATTTTCTGTAAAATATTTTTTTTGGATATTAGAGACTAGATTCTTTCACATTCTGATTGTGTAGATCATGCTTGGTACCTTGGGAACACTTGTGTATATAACCCTCCACTCTCCACAGGTATAGTATTCAAAGAACCTGGTTATTGGACTCTGGTTATTGGTTATCCTGATTATTTGACTCTGATGGTGTGCCAAACTAATTCTGCATATATATCCATAATAATTTTCAGCTCATGGCTTCAGAGTTTTTGTCAGGATTTTATTTTATTTTATTTTGTTTATTTTTCTTTTCATGCATTCCCAGACCTCTTTGTGATAC